CAGGGGCACTCAACCACTGAGCCACATCCCCAGCCCTATTTTTGTATTTTATTTAGAGACAGGGTCTCACTGAGTTGCTTAGCACCTCACAGTTGCTGAGGCTGGCTTTGAACTCACAGTTCTCCTGTCTCGGCCTCCCAAGCTGCTGGGATTATAGGTGTGCACCACCGTGTCCAGCTTTAACCAACTTTTGAGCATAAAATAACACTGATTTAAAAAACTAGTAGTAGTTATGTAGTTATCCATGGTATTGGGGTTTATTTTGGCAATTATACAAGCATGGGATATAATTTGCCCTAAATCATCAGTCCCCAGTACTTCCCCTTTCCCTCCCCCTGTTCCCTTTCCTCTATTCTGTGGGTCTGTCTTCTATTTATTTATAGTTTTTATAAGTGTGGAACTCACTGTGGTATGTTCATGTATGTACAAAAGATAGTTTGAGGCAATTTCATTCTGCCATTTCTCCCTTTCCCGTCCCTTCTCACTCCTCCTCAATTCCCACTGGTCTCTCTTTTCTTTTCATAGGATTGGTTCCCCTTTCCTGCTTTTTTTCTTTCTGGCTTCCACACAGGAGAGAGACATTCAACCTCTGACTTTCTGGGTCTGGCCTATTTCACTTGGCATGATATTCTCCAGTTTCATCCATTTACGCCATAATCTCATTCTTTTTTATGGTTGTGTAGAACTCCATTGTGTCTACATTCCACATTTTCTTTATCCGTTTGTCTGTTGGAGAGCACCTGGGTTGGTTCCATTACTTGGCTATTGTGAATTGCACAGCTAAACACATTGATGTGTAATTGCCATTCTGATTGGAGTGAGAAGAAATCTTGCTATAGTTTTTGATTTGTAGGATATTGTGTGGGTATAGACAGTCTCAGAAAAGGCAACGAAACTAGACTAGTCAAAACAATTCTGTCAACACAAAACTAAGCTGGAGGATGCATGCCATCCAATTCTAGGATAAACTGTAAAGCTATGGAAATCAAGATCAGGTGGTGTTGGTGACAGGCTAGACACACACAGAACAGGACAGAGCAGGGAATCCAGAAATGATCCACAAAGCACGGCCAACTGATTCTGACAAAGGTACAATTTGGGGAAATACAGATGCAAAAAAAGCAATCTCTTGGAGAAAGGAAAGTCTTTAATAAATGTTATTTGAGCAATTTCACAAGGATCTGCAAAGAGAACCTCTAAACCTCACACCATATATACAAAAAGTAGAGATGAATCATAGGCATGTATGTAAATTTTATAAAACTGTAAGACTTGTAGAAGAAAATCTTTATGACCATGAGTTAGATACTTCTTAGATATGACATTGAAAGCATGACAAAAAAATTAACAGAACATTATAAAAATTAATAAATCTTGATGTATAAAGGAAACTCAAAAGAACAGAAAGGCCAACTACAGACAGAATATATTACCAAACTAGTGTTCACAGTACATGATACATTCTTAATACTCAGCAGTAAGACCACAACTTCAAATAATAATTTTTAAAAATAAGAAGTAAGAAAGTAAAAAAATGGGCAAAATGTTTTAGCAGACACTTTACCAAAGAGGATCTATGGATGGTAAATTAGCTATGAAAAGATGCTCACAGGCACCAACCATCAGGGAAGGCAAGTCAACACCACAGTGCCCCTGACTATTAGAATTAATAGCCTTCTGGAAAATCCACAATGCCAAGTCCTGGCAAGGACACAGAGTGACAGGAACACACACTTACCACTGTTAGCAAGCTGGAAAAGGGGTTAGCAGCTTCTTTAAAGGTAACCTTGCATCACGATCTAGGAATTCCACCCCCGGGTATTTACTCTAAAGCTATTTAATCTTTATTTACCAAATGCTATGCAAAAACATGAATAGCAGCTTTATTCCTAGTCAACACATTGTCCCAGCTGACCTTCAGCAGGTGGGTGGGTCAACATGCAGGGGCTTCAGTCAGTGTAAGAGCAACCTCTGTGTACAGGGCACAGGTGCCTCTTGGGCACCACGGATGGCAGAAGCCAGTCTCCAAAGGTTGCCCTCCACTTGACTCTGTTCATACAACATCCTGGAAAGGGCAAAGCCAGGGGTTGGAGAACAGGCTGTGCACAGGAGTTAGGGCTTGGGGCATCTGATTACAGAGGGAAGCTCAAGGAGAACTGTGCGTTGAAGCCATAGGAGTGAGCCACCCCCCCCCCCCCCCGGCCCCATTCAAATAACTGCCTCTCAGGAAACATGGAAATTAAAGAGCAAAAAAGATGAACAGTTCCTAAGGAGGCCTCCCATTAAGCCATGGTAGGTGAAGCTAATATACTTAAATCATATCTGTGAGGCCATAAGTTGGTATTTGCACATTTTATGGAATTCACAATCTCTCGTAGAAACAACAGAAGATATCTACCCATTGAGTAGGATTTGGAGCATAGTTTTATTATTTGAAATGCTAAATAAAACTGTATAGATGTTTGAACTTTGCTTTTATGATCCCATTGATTAGAGTTTATGGGATCCTGAGTGAACTCATGACTCAGGCCCTCACAGAGTGTCTTTATGAGCAGCTACCACCTGCTTCACAAAATCCACTTTGAGATGGGTTTCCCGTCCAGGGAGAGGCTGCCACGTGCTGGCGAGAGGTTCGCCCCCTTGCTGCAGAGCCACGCCTCTCTGCTTATCTGACTTTACTGCTGTCAGGAAACCTTTTGCAGCCTGTTTCATGACCACCTTCAGGTAAGGCTGCCTCCGGCTTCCTGGCCCCTGGAGGCCACAGACAGCGCAGTAAGAGCCGCGGGCTGCGTGCAGTCCAGGTTCCGCACCGCTCGTTGGGACCAGTGCTCTGCCCACTTCAGACTTCATCTGTCTCATCCTTAAAGCACGACTCGCCACTTCGAAGCCAGTTAGCTACATGTGCGGTCACTCCGTGTGGCCTTTTCTGGTGTGTCCCCTTCCTTTAGCCTTCCCGTGGACATCACTGAGCTGCCCCACACCTTCCTGACGTTCTTCAGTAGGATTGGCCTAAGGTTAAAAGATGATTTTTTTTTACCATATTCACACTTTTGCTGAAAAAAAAAACTTTTTAAAAAAATATTTATTTTTTAGTTGTATGGACACAATACCTGTATTTTATTGATTTTTATGTGGTGCTGAGGATCGAACCCAGGGCCTCACAAGAGCTATACAAGCGCTCTACTGCTGAGCCACAACCCCAGCCCCCCAAAATGATTTATTTTATCAATGCTGTCCCTCAGTCATGTATCACTTATCTTATTTTATGTTTTTTTTATTGTTTTTTTTTTTTGGGGGGGGGGTGGTACTAGTGATTAAATCCTGGTACCCTTAACCACTGAGCTGTAGTCCCAACCCTTTTTTAAATTTTTATTTTGAAACAGGGTCTAAGTTGGTTAGGGACTTCCTAAATTGCTGAGGTTAGCCATCAACTCACAATTGTCCTGCCTCAGCTGCCCCCAGGTCACTGGGACTACAGGTGTGCACACCGTGCCCAGCACTTTCCATGTAGTGAGCAGGACTGTGCTAGGCGCTGGGGACTAGAGGTCAGTGGCCGTCCCCAGTTATGGTTTACTGGAAGAGAGACACTTGAATACAGCGTGATGAATGTTCTGATGGCCAAGGGCACACAGGTGGTGGTGAGCAAAGGACTCCTGGGTGGTCACAGACCAGCAAGGTGAACAGGTGTGGACAGGAGGCTGCAGCCAGCAGGGAGAATAGAGAGGTCTGTGAGGGGCAGGGGAAGGGCATGTCTGGGACTACACCCTGGAGGGGTGGGGAGCCAACAGGGCATCCAGTGAGGAGCAGGGACACAACTAGACGCCAGGTTGCATGTCTGTATGGTGGAGAGGACAGGAGGGCTGATCCTGTGACGAGGGACGGGGACGGGGATGAGAACTCAGAGGGAAGAAATGTGATGAGGGATTGCAGGGACTTGGAGAGGAGGGAGGGGGTTGACATGCTACCCAGAGGCTGCCTTTGGAGGCGACTGAAAGCAAGTCTGTATGTGAGCAGCTGGCGGACGTCACCCTCAGCACCACCGTGCCCTTCAGAGCTCGGCCTCTAGACGTGGATTTCGTCATGGCTCTAGAGAAAGCAAAGCATCGAGAAGTTGTGGAATTTGGTGATGCCACACATGGTGTTTTAGGAAGAGGCTCGAGATGGGACACTGAAGGCAGGGAGTCCAACGGCAGCAAGAGGAAGAGAGAGTGGTGGCCCTGCCTTTAGATGAAGGACCTCAGTCACGGGGGGACATTGATGGGGACCGAAAGGGAAGGGCTTGGACGCCTGTGGGTGCAGAGACAACGACTTTGCTCACGTCTGCTCATTGATTCCAAGCTACAAATGCTTCCGTGTGCTTTGTCTGTCTCACCTGAGCATTCCAAGTCCAGGCAGCCACGGCGTAGCACGTAACCGGCTGTCTGCCCACACCACGCCTTGGCCTCCCGTTCTCCCTGCCCCTGCCCCACCAGTTGCCTTCCAGTGTGACACAGAGTTGGAAAAGCTACAGCTCTCGAGAGAGGTCCTGGTTTGGTGTCAGATCTGGGAGCGCCCCCCCCCCCCCGCCGGGGTCAGTAGGAGCTGGGTCCAGGATGGATTGTGACTGAGCATGTGTGTGGTCTCAGGACAGGGGTGTTGAGGGTGGGGGGTTCTTAATGGCTTTGAACCAGGGACTTTTCAGACTTGCCTGGAGTTGGGGGCAGCCCCTCCCTGCAGCCGTGCCTGCTGGGGCTGTGTGGGTCCTGGGCTGGACTGCCCACTCAGGTCCCAGCCAGTTTTCTAGACCTGAGGTTCCTTCTGCCTACAGCGAGCAGGGTAGAGGTGGCGCTCTCGGGAGGCATTGTGGAGACAAGCTCTGTCTGTCGCACCTTCCAGTCCAGCCCTCAGGTTTCCGTGGACTGATGGGGGTGGCTGTTAAGAAGCGGGGACTCTGTCACTGTCATAGTCAGACCAGCCTCTGGGAAGAAACCTTCTTACATGGGAATGCCCTTCTTTCTCAGATACATTAAGGAAACAAACATCAAAAATGACCCAACTCAACTCAACAACCTTATCAAGAAAAACTCTGATGTGCTCACGTGGACCCCACGGCCTGGAGCCACCCTTGACCTGGGCAGGATGCTGAAGGACCCAACTGACAGGTTTGTCTTGAATGTTTATGGAAGATGAAAATGCTTTATAAACGTGTTTCAGTACTTTGAGAAAAAAAAGGGCTTCTCTCTCACTCTGGATAGGCTCCTGTCTTGGAGTCTGCTGAGTTGCTTATTAAGCTTCCTATGCCATGAGATCCACATAGCACCTTGAAAACTATAGCTCTTATTATTTAAGTTAAGTAAACTAATACATATGTTTCAAATCTCAGGGAAAAGAAGACAGTCTGCTTCCAACATTTCATCTTCACCTTACTAAAGGGTGAAGAGTAAGTTATTTTCTGATATGGATCAGCTCAAATTTTGCCGCAGTCCGGCTGCAGCAAAATAACCGGGGAGTGACGAACAACTTGTGTAGGGATTGATACAGCAGGAGTGGGAGCCATTTATTGCAGGACAGGAGGGGTATATATACATTCCACACAGCTTATCTAATTAGCATAAACTAGATACAGCAGTCAACCAATAAGGAATCTGCACACTTAATGGCTCGCTGGCCTTACTTCACAAACCACTCCCTCTGCAAAATGCCAGGCGCCATCCAGACTTGTTTACAGACTCTAACAAAATTTATGTTGCTTTATATAAGTAAAAACAACAAACAAGAAAGCCCGTCTTCCCATCAGCACAGACCCTGCCGACCACCTGGCCCACAGGCAGCTCCTCCGAACAGGCAGTGTGAGTCACACTGAGGTCACAAACAGCAGGGTTCACACTGAGGGCACAAACCTGGACCTAAGTCCTCCCCTTGAGCCAAACAGCAGCCCAGGTTTCTTCCTGGCATTAGAAGTGCACTAATCTGGGGGAGGGCCGTGCACCCCTGGCCCGGCCTTGCCACGTCTGCATGGAGGGTCAGTCAGACATTTTGCCCGTCAGCTGGCTTTCCACCCAAACTAGCTCCCAGTCAATCTTCATGAAGTTTTTAACGTCCAGCTTTCTTCTGCAGCATCTTGGCCTTGGCCTCAATCCCACTGCTCACAGCTCCTCACCTGGCTGCCTGCAGTGACCCTGACGTGTGTGTGCACCTGTCCCCCACCCCCACATCCAGCTCCATGCAGGCATTTTTCAGTCTGCAGGTCCCACACCAGAGGGGGGGTTGTGAAATCAGTGTCACCTCCCACAAACGCATCTCCATTAAAGGACAGAATGGGGTGGGATGGAGGAATAGAGCAGAACAGAACAAAATAGCAAAGGTCCGCGGGCACTGCACCTAAGAAGGGTATTACTTCATGAAACCTCTGTTCCCAGAGAGCCCTGGCTCGTGGATTCTGATGTAGAGGCAGCTCTCGCTGGGACTAGAGGCTAAATGTTTGAAAGCTCCTGTCCTCATTGCTGACAAGTGAATCTTTCTCCATTGTAAAACCATTCCTGTTCCTTCCCTGCTTAAAATTTCTTCAAGATGTCCCCAAAGTCCCCAGGACAGAAGTGGCTCTCCTCTTCAGGTCAGGCGTGAGAGGTGGTTATCAGTGGCGCCCAGGCGCTCTCGTCATTCAGCACTGGGCTCGTCATCTCCCCGGAGCCCCAGAGGCATCCTGCTGCAGTCGTTAGCAAACTTGAGTGAACATCAGAGGCCGCAGGGACTTCCAATGCAGCTCCCTGGGTTCCCGGGCAGGTTCCGAATCCATAGATCTGAGGTGGAGCCCAGGAATCTGCATTTGTAGCCTGGTGCCACACCAAGGGCTTCTGGGAAGCCAGAGCCACTGGTGTCGGGTCTCAGTGCTAACACTCAGCATAAGGACACAGAGAGTAAGAGCTTAAGGCCTCCTTTGGAGGGGACAGGAGAGGTGCCTCTGCAGTCTTTGGCATTTAGGGATGTCTTAGGAGGGGGAGGCTGGAATGGGGATGGGGAGAGGAGGGGAAGGGACAGGGGGCTCCGGCCAGAGGCAGTGGTGGGTGCTGGAGAAGGGGATAATAGCACTGTGCATTTTGTGAGTGTAGGAATTTCAGAGTGATGGACACATGCGTTGATTTAGGAATGATTTATTAAGCGCCTCCGTTCACCAGACCTCACACGGGTACAGGGCATACAGCGGTGGGGAAGTCCCTGCCCTCGGGGGTCTCACGTGCCTGAGTTCAGGGCTGGTGAGAGAAGGAGCAGGAGGCGTGGACAGGACTCCTCAGGGAGGCCCTGCTGGAGGAACCCTGCCCCTGGCTCAGGCGGAACTTTCCAGCAGCCTCAGCCTCTGCTCCGGAGGCCTTTGCCTTCCCCGCCTCGCACTCTCCCCTCACTGTTGTCCCTCTGTGTCTTTAAGCAAGGGCATCGCGGAGCCTCCAGAAGGGACCAAGATCTACAAGGATTCCTGGGACTTCCAGCCATACCTGGACACCCTGCATGCCGCTGTAGGCGACGAGATCTTTCTGCACCCATCCTGGATAAAAGAATACTTCACCTGGGCTGGATTTAAGAATTATAACCTGGTGGTCAGGGTATGCCTCACTGTTGCTCCCTCGCATGGTGGGGATACACGGAGTCCCCTCTGTCTACCAATCTGTCTGTCAGTGAGCGTCATCACGTCCTGCCGCCCGCCTGGCAGAGAACAGATCTGGCATTGTGAAAAACATCCCCTCCTTGTGCAGTGGGGACTGCTCTGAAGTCCAGCGCAGTTTTATTTGGAGGCATCCGTTCTCTCCTATCACTGTGGGCTGCCAACGTCTGTGTCTGTCTGTGGGTGTCTCATTTTGGTCTCGGTGTTTGGCATGGCAGGGATGAGTACTCAAACAGGGGGGGCGAGGAGGTGGGAGCCACCCAGAGGGTGGAGACAAGGGAGACAGAGCAGGTAATTCGTACCCACAGATGTGCTGAGGACAGAAGGCACCAAGAGTCGGGCTAGGTCAGGACACACCCCGGCCACAGCAGTGCACAGGGCAGCCAGACGAGAGCTCAGGTTAAAACCCGACGGCAGAGCTGGAGGTGTACGCGAAGGCAAATCAGCTACCAGCAGACGGGGTGCAGGGAAAGGGGCCTGAAATGGGCATCAGGACTGCCAGGTCAGCGAGCAGCCAGCCAAGGCCACGTAGTGGGGCAAAGGCTAGGGATGGCACCAGGAATGCACAAACCTCAGGCCCTAGAGACAAGTGTCGGTCACCCTCAGGGAGACAGCTGTTCCCCAGATTACCTATCAATCCCTGAACGTTAATGCCACGCAGCACCCTGCTCAAAAACCGTGATTCCCCAAAACCTCCCTGGGGGTCATTGCCCGTCTGTGACAACGTTTTTGTTGGTCAGTAGTGAAAAAAGTAAAGATGTGGTTATGCATGTTGGTACAGAGATATCACCTCTTTTCCTGGGATGAATTATTAGTGTCCAAGATTGTTTTTGAGGCACTGCCATCTTCCTTGAGTGACATACAAGGACAGCAGATGTCAGACTTTTTTCCCAAGTCATCACTTGGCAAAATAAAATGTTGTTACCTGGGTTAGCTCCCAGATATGTTTTTAGGAAACTGTCTTTGAAATCTGAAGACCTGGGAGCTGGGGTTATGGCTCAGCAGCAGAGCACTCTCCTAGCACACGTGCGAGGCCCTGGGTTAGATCCTCAGCACCACATAAAAATAAATAAATAAAATAAAGATTAAAAAAAAAAGAAATCCAAAGACCTGGGAACCATGGGTCTAAATGATATTTCACTTGGACAATTAGTATGGAAATGAGGGGAAACATTGCAGCTTTCTATGAGACTTGATGCGTGGCTTCCCAGAGACGGACAAGCAGCCCACGTTTTGTTTATCCCTCACCTGGTGTGCTTAAGATCGTGACGGCCTGCTCTGTGAATCGGACTGAAGGTAGTGGTAGCAAGCAGTTCTGCTTGTAGAAGGCTAGGGTTCGAATGTCCTCCAGGCCTGGGGGTCGGAGGGGGACTAACCCAACTGCCAACACACTGCTGTCCTTCAAGGACATCGGGCTCAACATTCTTAGGGTTTGTCAAAGACCTCGACCCCCAGTAGATGTTCCCCTTCCATGTGCACAGATGATCGAGACGGATGAGGACTTCAGCCCCTTTCCTGGAGGGTATGACTACTTGGTGGACTTTCTGGATTTATCCTTTCCTGAAGAAAGACCAAGCCGGGAGCATCCCTATGAGGAGGTAAGCAGCATCGGTGGAGGGGCCTCCTGCCTCCTCCCTCCCTTCCTCCTCCTCCCCTCCCCGCCTTCCTCCCTTCTCCCTTTCTGGTTTTACAATAACTTTAGATTAACCGCGTTTCAGGGACAGCACGCGTATTGCTGACCCCCTACTTTGAGATTGTGTCCCAGCTCACAAGCCTCTCTTAGCTCAAGTGCCCCTCTGCCTCTTCCTGAGCCATCTGTGGAGACTGGCTTCCCACCTGCTTCCTTCCAAACACCCTCGGTCTCAGCTGCTGTTAGACCTCGCTTTTCCTCTCTCCAGTGGCGTCTCCTCCCCCAGGTGGACCCACTGGGTGTCACAGTGAAGGAAGTCAACATAAACCCATGTGTGAGTGTGTTGTCGCACTCCAGTTCTGAGCAGACCCCTCAGCAGCACGGGGTCAAGGAGAGAGCCAAGGCTTGGGAGATGGTCAAGCTTGGGACTGGTGCCCAGCCCTGCTGGTCATGGTCTCTGGTTCTGAGGCTTAAGCAAGTTCTTTCACCTGCCACCTTGGCTTTTCCCTTCCATGGGGCATGTTCCCACCGGGTGGATGCATTAATCAAATGATATAATATACATGAGCGTGCCTTGCAAAGTAGAATTCTGTATGAGTGTTGGAGTCACTAGGTAAGTTTCAAGTCTGCCCTTGAGTTTTTTGCAGGTGCCATTTAAATGTGTGAAGCCCTGATTGTAACAGAGGTAATCGATGTGCTCTTAAATTGCACTCTAGTACATTGGCTTGGATCTTTACATTTCATGAAGTACTTGCTATTGAAGAGAACCTTATGCTGAAACCTCAGTAAAACCCATAATCACCTACCTGACTCACAGGTCTTGGAAAACTGGGGTTTTACATGTAAGAGCCCTGCACAAAGCACCGTATGGATTAGGAATGGGTTTACACTTTTCTTATTTTTATTTTTTTGAGATGGAATATCTTTATGTTGCCAGGCCTTGAACTCCTGGGCTTAAGCAATCCTCCCTCCTCAGCCTCCTGAATAGGAGAGACTGCAAGTGAACAGGACCACGCCTGGCTACGTTTACTCCCATCTTAAGCAAAAGGAATCTTCTCAAGATTTGTTATATGACATTTACCTAGCTTGTTCTATGCCAAGCCCAGTTTCACATGTGTTGCAAGTATTAAGTTGCTGAATCCGACAGCCCTAGGTACAGATACTACTCTTGACCCATTCTACGATGTGATACTCAGGAGTGAGATCACTCACCAAGGTCATCATCCAGCGGGTAAATTGTGGTGCAGGGCATTGGGCTCAAGCAGTCAAGCTCCAGAGTGGATGCTTTCAGCCCCTGTGTGGGCACTCATGTCTGGATTGAGAAAACCTCTAGATTAAGGTGTCTGCTAGTCTTACAGGAGAATCACCTTTGCAAGGGTTAACACAAGGTCATTTAAAATATCTAACTTGACAACAAGTCGCTTTTTCAAAGCTTTTCATAATACATCCACTGGATAGAGTGGTGACTCTCCTGCAGATTCAAACACACTGTGGGGTAAACCGTGCCTGCCGTGCCCTCGGTGGGCTGTGGTGGGGCTCGTGGGTGGTACCTCCTAGGGCCTGAGTGAGAACACCATACATGTGGTTTGCATCTACACTTGGAAAAGACCCTCTTTGTGGGACTTAGAGCCTTCTCATATTGCTTCCATCCTTGTTGTGTGTGTTTGTTTGTTTGTTGCCTTAATTGCCTTGCAAAGCCGTAACTGTGTTCTTTTTTGTCCCTAGACTCAGGCCCGCCTTTCTCCTTCTCCAGTCTGGGTGAGCTCCGGGTCTGCTGCAAACCCACCTCCTCTGCTGCTTCCAGACCCTCCATGTCTTCCCCGTCCTTGCTCCTCCTTTCTGGACTTCTGCTTCACCAGCAGCCTGAGACAGGGCGCCTTTCCCCCACTGCCTGGGTTACAGGACAGCGTGGCCGACGTGGGGTTGTAGGTGGCTAACCTTCCCATAGACACCAGTGGCATGCAAAGTCACTCCAAAGACGACGGATGCCAGCTGACCCTTCCTGCTTTGTAGATGACTTTAAAAATGATGAGTCCTTGTTTCCCAATAAAAAGACATGGGCAGGCTAATTTCAGGCCAGCTGCATAGGGCAGGATTTGTAACCCGTGGACTTTACCTGAAGGTGCGGACCCCACACTTCACTGCTCAGAATGGCCCATGGCAGGTCTCACAGAGGGATGGAGCTGGGTGGGGATGGCATCATGTGGAAAGCAAATCCAGATCATAAGCCAGCAAACCCTACTGAGTTCCAGCTCTGGGTTTTACAGAGAACTTGAAAATACAGATTTTCATGTGAAATATACAGAAATGTAGATAGTTAATTCAAATGTGTTAAGGACTGTGACTTGGTGAGACAACACCCTTTTGCTCAGGGGTCACCAGTGTGCTTGGAGTCATGAAGGTGAGGAACCATCCATAGGCTGGAGACCCTGTGCCCAGATGGGGGGGAGGCCCTGTTTTGAGCTTCACAAACATACTCTGCTCTCATTCTCCCCAGACATCAAGTCCGTGCGTTCAGAGAACCATCTGAACGTATTTGGTGAGGACCGTGCGTGGGGGTAGGTGAGGGGCCAGCTGTTTGGTGGACATGCATTTCTGCTCATCTGTGGTCCCTGCCCGCGCCCTCCTTGTCCAGGCTACTTCCACATCCGCTCTGCAGCCTCCATCCTGAGCAAAAGGGGTGTTGTCTGCCTACTGTCTATTTGCTCAACTAGGTGGACTCTCCGGTCAGTGACCCCCTTCCTTTTCACCGTGGCAGCTTGCACCTGTGTAATTGCTTGGTCAACATTTTGGTTGGGTCTGGGAATGCAGAGGGGGCAGGGGATGTATGACAAATCTTGTCCTGAGCTCTGGTGACACAGTGCCCTTGTCCTCCCTCCCTTCCTGTGCCTCTCGGGCATTCTTCAGAGTGCCTCCTCTGCATCCAGAACCTCTTCTTTCCCTCCAGAATGTGTGCACAAACCACTGTTTTCCTCCAGTCTCTTCCTGAGTGAACTCATCTGCTGACTTCACTTTTCTGCTAAGGATCCCCAGATCCACGTCCGTCCTGGACTTCTCCGTGCTCTGGTCAAGTGTTGGATTCTTGGCTGTCAACTGCCTGCTGATACCATCACCCAGATTTCTGAATGCTTGGTACCTCATTTTCAACCAGTTCAAAATCCAACCTGTCATCTCCTTTCTCTAAAAACTGACCTGTCTGCCTTTCTATCTGGTCGTGGGCATCATGGGTCCCCAGTCAGCCACGGCGGAAACAGGGACACCATCCCAACTCTTCCTGTTCCCTCATCCTCAAATCTAATCGGCCTCCAAGACCTCATTTTACATGCTATTTCTCAGATCAACCCCCAATTCTCCAATTTTTTTTTTTTGGTTGCAAGTTTTAAGTCACTGAATCCGACACAGTCCTGGGAATAGATACTACCTGCTACACAGGTTCTGACGGATAGGCTGTTACAACCTGTCCAGTCTCAGGATACCATCCCTTCCTGCTGCTGATATGAAATCACTTTTTGTCTCTCTTCAGTTTCCTAATACAGAAGCCAAGCCTCCACTGGCATGAGATCACACAGCTCCTCTCCTGGTTAGAAATAAGGAAGTCCCCACACAGCACCCTAGCCAGGCCACCCTAACCCAACGCAACTGGAGAATTATGTTTCTACATCTCTCCCGGCAAAGACACAGATCCTCAGTTCACAATGATATGATTGTTGTACAGGAAGGGAACTGGAAAGGGAAATAGATCCAAACACCCATCTCCAGTCATCCGTGCCTTTGAATATGACACCTGTCGATGATGAAAGTTTGCCTTCATTGGCTTTTACAGGGTATTTATCAGGAAAAGAGAAATGTGAGGCTGATCCTTAAGCTTCTGTAAATGCTACGCAGGTTCTGACAGATAGACTGTTAGAACCTGTCCAGTCTCAGGATACCATCCCTTCCTGCTGCTGATATGAATTCACTTTTTGTCTCTCTTCAGTTTCCTAATAGAGAAGCCAAGCCTCCGCAGGCATGAGAGCACACAGTTACTCCACACAGGTGGAGACACGCGCCATCTGCCCCCTCTGGTCCTGTGCTACTCTGACCATCCAACAGTATTAGCAGTGGAGGATGCTTAAGGGTCAGGTCCTAACCTGCTGAAGTAAGCAGTCCAGCTCTGCCACAGGCTGGACACACACAGGCTGCCCTGAACTTGCAGGCTCTGTGTTACCCTGGGTGTCCAGGTGGAGAAGTGGACACTCTGCTTTGTAATAACCATGATCACAAACACGCGTCCAATTCTTACTATGCGTCAGGCCTTGTTTTAAGAATTTTATTTGCACTGGCTCATATAATCCTCATGACAGTCCTATGAGGAATGCTCTATTGGGTTCATTCCACTTGCACGTGAGGCACAGAAGGTACCCAGGCTGCTCCGCTGAAACCTGGATTGGAACCAGCGGTCTGCCTCAGTGGGCTCCAGGCCCTGCGTCCCAGACTCCTGACTCCCCTCCGGTTCTCTCCCTCCATGCCACTGCTCTTGACCTCCCTTTCCCTCAGCTATGCTCTCTGCTCCAGGTGACCCCGTACTCCTGTCCCCCTGCTGGCTGGGGCAGCTGCTGCCCCGGGCATGGGGCTCCATGCCCTGTTGGGCCTGGCCACCCTGAGAGCTGCTCCCCGTCTGTTTCAGATTCGCAGCCGGGTGGACGTCATCAGACACGTGGTGAAGAACGGGCTCCTCTGGGATGACCTGTACATAGGATTCCAAACCCGGCTGCAGCGGGACCCCGACATATACCACCACCTGTAAGTCTGCAGCACCTGTCCCCCACCCCTGGCCGCAGCAGAGGACGCTGGGGCAGGCCCTTCCTCAGCGAGCTCTCTGGAGGCAGATCTGGCCGGGAAAGGACTCGCCAAAGGGTCATTTGCCTCTCCACGTAGCAGTGTCCTGATCACTCGGGAGGCAGTGTTGAGTGGGAATGGCAAAGGCTTTACAAGATAGCAAGGCGAGAACCAGGAGGGGGCTCAGGTGGCAAAGACGCGGTCCTTGAATTCAGTGAACCCCCATGTCCCCCTTCGCCTCCGCCCAGCCCTGACGGCGACCTGGGTGGACGAGCTAGTTTGTGGGAATGGCCGGCTCCCTGCGGCTCGCTCAGCCTTCACAACTGTTCACAACTGTGCAAGTCTTTGCACTCACACTTGGAAGACTTGAACTGCACTCTCAGAAAAGGCCATTTTCCATTTTCACACTTGGAAAATAATTACCGAAGAATAGAGCACGCTTTCTAATCCTCTCATTTAAAATGCCTCAGAAAAACCCACCATCTCGTTTCTGTCTTGAGCCTGCAATTACAGGCGTTTATTCAAACTTTCTTTTTTTTAAAATTTCCTTTGAATGTTATAGTTTGAAATTTAGAAGAAGGTGGAAGTATATAAAACACAAAGTGACCCCACCAGGTACCTCCCAGGAAACCACATCTGTTTCCTGCCCCACCCTCCACCCACTCAGGGTCACCCTTGATAACAGTGCCCATTTCTGGGTCCTTTGGCATTTCTCTAAATAGATTTGTTTTCAATAAAATGTCCTGTATTGTTGGGGGTAGGGCAGTATTCTTGCTGTTGTTTTTAAATGCGGTTTCAGTGCAACTGTTGTGCAACTTAACACCCAAATACATGGGGACCCGCAGGGCACCCCATAGCCTTTTAACGGCTAAAATGCACGCCCAAGTTTTGTTCATTTTCAACAGAGCATATACCCAGCTTCCTGTCCTGACAGGATTGGGGGGAGAATGCAGCAACTTTGGGGAGATTCTGGAGGTTTCTTAATGAAAATAATTCATCTTGGGAACTTCTAGGCCCTAGATGCTGAAGATGATCTTGGTGTGCCATGTTTTGATAGGATGCATTAATGAATCTTAGGACGCAGTCACGGCCCAATTTATCTTTGTTGCTCTTAAAACAGAATGAGTGGGCTTGCCAAACAGTTTTCTCCTTACAAAAACCACACAAATTCACTGTGGAAAATTTGAAAAAATATTTTAAAATTAAGACCACACATAATCCCATCACATTGACAGAGCAATGGCATGTTGGTGTCTAGTTAATCATCCTTTTTCTGTTCACAAACACATGCATTTTTTATAAAAATAGGACAATGCTGTGCATCTTTCCACACTTTATCATCATGACTGTCCACATTCCTGCAGACTCTCCCCAGCCTCTTTGATGCCCGCCTCCCTGACACCGTCTGCCCATGTCCAGACTTTATGGAGCCCATCTTGGGTTGACCTCTAAGTTGTTTCCAACCTTTCACTGTCCCAACCCATGGCTGGGCAGATCAGCATGCAGCTCTATTTTGCACACTTTCTTAATGATTTCCTGAGGACAGACTCCTGGGTGTGTCATTGATGGGCCTGGTGAACACAGGGCTTAGGCCTTTGGTGCCCTCTGCCAAATTGTTCTTCAGGAAGCCAGTTCTTCATCCTATGAATAATGTACCCCAAGACACATTCACCTGCCCCTTTGCCAAGCCGAGGCCCTAATGCTTTTGTGTACAGCATATAAATCTGGGTTTTTTCACCTATGAGAATTCCTTAAAGCAAGGCTCATAACAATGCCATGAAAAAGACAGGCTTATCATGTTTTGAGGGACTCTCTGCATTCAACACCCTGAAAACTGTAAGCTCCTGAGCCCTGATCAGTTCAGAAATGCTGCATTAGGGAAAACTGAGAGCAGTATCCAAAAGGTCCTGGCAAAACGGGAGGTGTGGGGGTTTCCAAAACGTATTTCCCTGCTCTCTGTCTCCTACAGGTTTTGGAATCATTTTCAAATAAAACTGCCACTGACTCCACCCAACTGGAAGTCCTTCGTGATGCACTGCGGTTAGAGGGACCTGGGACTTCTCAGGTAGAGCACCCTGTGGATCTGGGAGACACTCTGCTGCTCTTTGTCACTTAAGTTAGCAGGCCCCTGACTTTCGGGGGTTGAGACAGAGTGAATGGTACAAGGATGCTAAAGTTTAAAAGAAAGTGAATAAAAGAGTGAGGGCATCCAGTCCAGGGGCCACACAAGCCTCGGTCAGGTTGACGTGAACACACAGCCATTAGTGAACAAAACAAAATCCATTCTGAGATGTCAGTGAGCGCTCAGAAATAAATCATGAGCACACAAGGATAGCAGCAGCAAAACAAAAGAGAAAATCTAAAGACGGAGTAAGATGGGAACGATTCCCTCCGCGTCCTGTAGACCTCTGGCTTCTCTGGAGTGGAGGAGGGGAGCTTGTCTGGTACACATGGAAGGGGCCACTCTGTCTGTGGCTTGAGGTGTCCTTTCATCGGACGAGTTACACACTGTTTCCAAATGCACGTGATGGGAAGGACCACACAGTCTTCCTATGGAGTCAGTCTCCCCTTGACTCTTGCTTTCGTTTATTTGTTCCACAGACAGCGACTGATCCCTTCACATTTTCCATCAATAAGCTGGTGACGGTTCCTCCCCGTAGATGATGAGTCCCTTCAACTAGAGGCTATTGCTTGGCCAGCCCCGTACTTAGCACGCACCCAGTGCGATCATGACTTCAAGCAAGAAAGGAGCACATGCATCTTTCTCTCCCACTGTCAATGAGACTTGCCTCTTAAATAGGCTCCCGTTGTCTTTACCGATAAAGTTAAAGGTCAAGTCGGAGCTTCTTTTACATCCTTCTCAGTTGCAAAGCCCTGAATCCACACTGTAGTCTAGCACAGGCGCAGGGTTAGGTCTTCTGGGCATGATCCTAAGCTAGAGGGCATGCTAAGGAGGCCCACTAGGCTGCACCACAGGTCACTCTTGTAAGCACTGGCTTGGGCTGAGTGGGCAGTGGGTGGTGGCCATGTGGACCTTATGAGCCACACAGGAGAGCCATGCCACATATGGGCAGCCACCCAGCAAAGTGCAAAGGGTCCGAAGTCGCATCCCAGTTCACATCCTAGATTCTCCCTCACCATAAAGCAGCTCTAGAGCTCAAACTACGTGCAAGAACGAAGATGTGTCCAATGCAACAAGAAAAGGGCAGTATGGAGATAAGGTTCAGTGGTTGTTCATTAGCAATCTCTTTCACTCACAGGGATGCCAGAGCACATGAAGAATTCAAGAATTTACCTGCTCCACCTCGATACAGGTTTATCCCAGAGAAACTACGCTTTATCACATAAGCATCGGATGTCATGCTGCCTTCATGAGATGTTTACAAAACTTGTGGATCACTACGCAGATACGCAAATATATTTTTCTGGGGGTGTTGCTCAGTGCCAGATTATATGCTTAGATGCATGAAGTACTGGGTTCCCATATATATATATATATATATATATAGATAGATAGATAGATAGATATAGATATATATAGATATATATATTAATTATATATAATTAATATATATATTAATCTCACCCATAATTCTCAATAGAAGGAAACAATGAATCCAATAGGAACAAGCCATGTATGCAAAACAAGGCATAACAAATTGAGATATGAATCCAAGCATAGAAGAAACAGGAAAAATAAAGTTTTAAAAAAATTTAAATTTTCAAAAAAAATCAATTTTCCTGAAACAGTGAGTAACCCTCTTCTAAACTCTTAAAAACATTGTTTCAAATGGTGCAAATGGGCAACTGATTTGCCTGTTTTTGTTAATGACTGTAGATTTTTATGATATTCATATAATTATTTGGGACATAGAAATTAATTTCTAGAAAAATACGATTGTTAAGTAGATTTCTGTCTTATGTGTTGATGTTTCCAATGCACATCACTGATTTGAAAAATCAAAACCTGTTTTTTGATTATATATTCTACCTCTTTAATTCTTAAGATTCCAGAATGTGGTGGAATTTGTCTCCTTAAATCTTGGCAATTGCAACACTGGACATCTGCTTCCTATTGACACCAATAGAGCTTGATTCTTCTGGTTGACCTCACATATTTTGCAGAGCAGAAATGTTTGGAATCCAGGAAATATTTTTTTGTGATTTACACTATATAGTAATATATTCACTTATCACTAAAAATAAATGTAACATTTGTCAATAGAATCTATGTTAAAATTCATATAATGACTGAATAAAAGATTATTTTAAAATACAAGTGTGGCTTCTCACCACTAGGTCTGTCTACGCCCAGGCTATCTGTCCAGTTCTCTCCTCCCGATATCCAGTTCCTTGGGGTCACCAGAACCTCAAGCCGTCAACCATGCTGTGTCCCCATGTCCTCGCTTCCCTCCTTGCTCTTCTTCCTGTGCCCCCACATCCTCACTCTCCTCCTCTCATGTCTCATATCTCACTTCTATGAGCCAAATGAAAAGCCGCAAAATCATCCTTTATCTTTGCTCTCACACCCACTCTGCTGACAGCTCCTGTCACCTCCACCTTCAAAACATGACCAGGTCCGACCACTTCCCACCACTTCTGCCTCCAAGAGCTGGAGAGGAAGGAGACCCAGGAGGGTGGTTGGCAGGAGGGGCTGACTCCCTTCATGGGGACCTGCCAAATCCAGAAAAAGCCAACCAGCTCAGTGCTGCGGAACTCGTTCAGAGGGGCTCACGGGGGCACTGGGGAAGCCATTTGCTGGGAAATGCCTCTCGGGTGCAGAGCCTTAGTGTGCAGCCACCCAACGGTGCCAGGAAGCTGCCAGCAGCAGGGTCTGATGCTCACTGAGAAACCCCGTGCTTCTGGAGCGTGGCAAGCAGCTGTCGCTGGCCAGGAGGAGGAGACTGTCCTTACTGGTGCCCCTGCAGCCCTCGGCATACAGGGCTTCCCTTCGTACCACAGCGGGCAGAGAAGCAGATGAGGATTTGCAAACAGGCAATGAAAAGTCAGTCCGGAGCGAGAAACAGGAACTGGCAACGACACCGACATGATGAGACACGTGGGTGTTCTAGGGTCACCACTAGAGGAACAGTAAGGAAGGGGTGGCCACAAATGGGATAACTTTAAAATATTCATCTGAAAGACGCCAACAAAAGAGAAAGATCCCCCATGACAGGGGTGTTTTGGGAAACAAGAATTTCTGATGGTTGAGGTTCGAATGGTCCCACCCAAACTCCTGTTGGAGGCCCACAGTGAGGTAGTGAGAGGGCCCCACTGAGAGGCCACCGGCTCAGGACTGGGTGGGCCCAGCAGTGGCTCTCTGGCATGCTTGCTTTCTCCCCCATGACACCCTCTGCCATCACACGGCCCAGCAGGAGGGCCCTCACCAGACGCCACACAGATGCCCGCGCCATGCTCCCAGACTTCCAGGACCAGGAGCTAACGAAACCTCTGTCCTTTATAAAGCACCCAGAATGCAGTATTCGTTCAACACGTGAAGATCCATTCATTCCACCACATTCACTGAAGAAAGGAGAGAAGTTATAGGATCATCTCAGTGCATGTGCAGAAAGCATTTGGCAAATGTTTTCATATCCATCCATATAAGGGAACTTTCTCCAAAAGAGAATAAAAGATAAATAAGAAGAAAAGAAATAAATCACTCCTGCAAAGAGAGACAAATAGACCAAGATAGCAGAATGGAAGGTACAGAAACTAACCCAGGCATCTGTGGCACCTTCTTAGAGACAGCGCAGGCAAACGGTGGTTAAAAAGAGGGCGGGCACACTGGTGTCCACGTGGGATGAGGGACAGGGCATTAGCCGGACCAGGGGAGCTGGCAGACATTTTCTGTGACCTGAAAGGTCTTGTCATGGAGGTGCTGGGGAAGGGCGGCTCGTTGGTGCCACAGATCAGCTCGCCCGTCCCTGCACCAGTGTCCGCTGATGGCAACATCTTATTTAGTTTTATGGCTTGTTGAGAAAGCACGTAAGCACTCCTCTCTTGTTGCTCTTCTTGATCCAGATTTTCAGGGCACCCCTTGCACATCCATCTAGAACTTTAAGATCAGTTTGTCACACTCCAAATTGTTTGTGAAAATGGTACCAGAAAAAATTATTATTAGCAGCTTCCCTTTCCTGTCTAGATGAACTGGGAGGAAGGACGGCGAGATGCCGGGGGGACGTGGTGAGGCCTGGCCTAACGGCAGTGGAGGTGCTGAACGAGGACAGAGAGACCCCCGTGGACACATGCAGATGTGCCGCCTGCACAGGTTAAAGGCTCAAGGGGGTGTGCAGACCCCGACCTGACTGATATTTTCTTTGATGACCCAGGTCTAAGACCCCAACTGGCCTCTGCTCACTGCCAGCCCACAGAGAGGAAAGCAAAGTTTACTTCCTCCAAACTGTGGCATTTCTACCCACCCTCTTTTTTCTTTCTTTCTTTTTTTTTTTTTTTCCTTCCTTTTATGAATCTGTTGTGGTTTGGATCTTCACTGTCCACCCAAAGCATGAGTGTCAGGCAGGGCAGCAATGTTCAGAATTGAAAGGACTGGCTTACAGGGCTCTGCCTCCCTGGGCCACTGCTCCAGTGAAGACTGATAATTGACTGACTTGCTGGGAGGTGTAACACCAAGGTGGGGTGGTGGGGCGTGGCCTTGGGGACTATATCTGTCCCTCACCCTGCCCCCTCTGTTTCTCTCTTGCTGCTTCCTGGCGCCTGAGCTGAGCAGCTGTCCTTCTGGCGAGACGTGCTGCCTTAGAGCCCTGGCCATTGGCCTGAGACCTCTGAAACCAAATAAGACAAAATAAACCCTCTCCCTCTAACTTCTTCTCGTGAGGTGTTTTGGTCACAGCCACAAAACTCTGATTAACACGATATCTAAATCCTGCTTTTGACATGTTAGAAGCAATTAAATCAATCCATTAATTTCTCGAGTATACAAGCAAGTGAGCAGGTAATGTTTACAGAGCTTTGTGTTACCATTTGACAGATCATAATCAGCTTAAGAAACTGCGAGGGTTTCAACTGCAGCTGGTAATTATTCCAATTGAAAAACTTTTCAGTTATGTAAATAAACATTAGAAACGTCTTCCCCAGGGAAGACAGATATAAATTATAACAAGAAGTGTACAAGATGGAAAGAAACTAATAATGAAAGTTTGTCATGGAATATAAAAGATCTGAAGAATTGGGAAGACATACTTTCCGGGATAGAAATATTCTGTGCTGTATTGATTCCTAAAATTAATGAAATCTCAATAAAAAGCACTCCTACAATAAATAGTAAAATGTAAGCAATGAAATAGAAAAAATGGCAAAGGAGATGAAGAGAAAATTGTCTAAGGAATACAATCGGCCAATCAATAAATGAAAAGAAACTTAAATTTAATAATAGGTGCACCAACAAAAGTATACGAGAGGTGATTTACAAAATTATCATTTTTAACTTTTTTTTAAACTGGGTATTGAACCCAGGGTTACTTTTACCACTGAGACACATCCCCAGCTCTTTTTATTCTTTTATTTTGAGACAGGGTCTCTCTAAATTGTTGAGGATGATCTCAAATTTGTAATCCTCCTGCCTCAGCCTCCAAACTTGCTGGGATTATAAATGTGTGCCACTGCGCCTAGCTAGAATTATATTTATAAAGTTTAGGTCACACAAATTTCTATCAACTAAGAAATAGAGTAGAACACATTATGTAGTTATAAACAGTGAGGTAACTCTGTATTTATGGATCTACAAAAGTATAGTACATGGTCTTAAAAAATTAAAAGTAACAAGAAATATCACTTTTATGTTAAAATGACACTATATATAATAATGTGTGTGTGTGTCCAAGGAAGAACATCTGGAGTGTTCACATCAGTTTATCAACAGGGAGCAGACAGATGGGCAAGAAGGGAATGGGATCCGCCACTTGCTTTATATACTTCCGTGCTGTTTAAATGGATTTTTAAAAAGCATTCTTGTATTCACTGTGTAATGAGTAAAAAAAAATAGTAATATAGGATTTTAGATTCTAACTGCAGCCCTTTAGTTCAGCTATATTCCAGCATTCATTCCCAGCTTTATTCAACATTGCATTGTAGATATTCTATATTTTCTTGGACATAATTTTTCTCCTATTATTACTGTTTAAAAATTCAGGCCTTTGTGATATTATTGTTATGAGTATTGATTGATTGATGCTGGAATTGAACCAAGAGGCACCTAACCACTTACTGAGCTTCATCTCCAGTCTTTTTTTTTTTTTTTCTTGAGCCTGGGTCTTGCCTCAGCCTCCTGAGGTGCTGGGATTACAGGCCTGGGCCACCCCACCTGCCTTAATATTTCACATTCTAAATGAGCCTTAACTTCAACTTTTCTTCTATTGTTGAACACTGAACAATCTTTTGAAGACTGTTATTCATATACCAGTATGCATTACATTTTTCATATTTTGGGTTGTTTTCTTGCAATAGAATACTTGAAGCTGGGTTGCTGGAT